TATTTCTCTATATCAGTGTTTCTCAAACTTGGAAACTTTAAGATGTGTGCTCTATATAAAAGAACAGAAACTATGTATTAATATATAAAAGTTAGAGATGGAGTAAATTGTGTATAGGTCCGTGCACTAGTATTTGTTCTAGAAAGAGATACAAATATAGCTCCAAGATATCACTCATATTTTATATCCTCAAAGTCCCAGATTTGATCAATTCCATCTCCAATTAGACAGAAGTCTCATAGAGAAGATAGAGTATCTCAGAGATTGTTTGTAGAATTCTTCAGAAGAGCAGAGTTTGAAAATAACTGATTTATATTTCTGCAATCCAAATACCTAGCCATTGTATGTTACAGAAAAGTCAGCAGGTGGCACTCTTACATGCACATTCTACATCTATTGCCTTAGAAAACTAATATTTTGTGTTACTTACCATACAAACTTTTTGATGTTACAGAATTATTCTATGGCTCTTCCTTCGGAATTATAATTATCAAGCTTTTAACCAATGAAACACAGGCACTCAAACTTTGAGGCATAGTTCATACATTACTAAACCATAGTTTGTATAACTATACCAAAATTGGCTAGGTTTACTAAATAAATCCTTTAATTTGTTTAGTAAGTTGTTCAAAGGTTGGGTTCACAGAACACAATTGCCAAATCAGAACAAACCCATTATTGCTTAGTTCGATAGTCAACCTTATTTTCATGTTAGGATTCAGAGTATTTTCCATTGTTTCAGTGATATTTATATTCAAAGATTACAATCTAATTATCCTTATTAAGAGTAAACTGTTGAATTTAGCAAGATACTTCCAGGTCAAGGTATGATATGGTGACAACTGAGATGGGAAACAGTCTATCTCAATATTCAGAAGTAACCTCCTTTCTCTGGTATGCTTCAATCTCATATCTATAGGCTACTGTATGTAGTAATGCATCTGAGAGATGGACAGTTAATAAATGTTACATAAATAGTATTTTAACTCAAATTTGCCCCTCATTTATATAGATCCACCCTAGAAATACGGTAATATATGTGCAATAATGTGCAGTATGCAGGAAGCTTATTTATAAGTTTTCTGTACCTTCACCTGCCCTGTGAAACAATGTCCTCTTTGAGGTTCATGTGACCCTCACCCTCTGGAGAGTTTGTAAAGCTGTGAAACCCTGGTTCTTCCAGCAGGCTTTGGGGTATCTATTGCTTGATAACTGATTCCCAATTGTTATAATTATTTTGTGTGTTATCCTCCCCAATCCGTGGCTGTGTATTACCACTTTTTTTCCATTTTATTATTTTATGATTGTTTTAATACTCAGATGTAAGCCACCTGGAGTAATTGACATAAAATACAAAGTAACAGATAAATTTAAAAAATGCTAGCTGCCTTGATAACACAAGCAATTGTTTAAGAAATAAAGCAAAACTGGTTAGATTTACAAACCATGCTAAGCTGTACACCATGATTTATAAACCACAAACATTACTACATTAGGCTTAGTATATTGTGCAAAACCATTTTTGAGTCTTCTAGCACAATATTTTCCATTAGACTACAGCTCTTTCAGGAGGAGTATTTCCCACACCTACTTCTTGATGACAGGAATGGAATTGCGGGTATATTATTTTATTATGAGGTGAAACATTACTGCATAAACCCAGTAATTATTAATTGTATTGCAGGCTTATTCCATCATTTCTCAACAATGCATACTTTATCTCCTCTTGTATCATTAAAATGCATTTGGTTGAAGTATTTCTGAGAGACAATTATTACTTAAGAACACTTATCTCTGTGAAAATGTTTGAATGAGGGTTTCATAGCCTTGAGTCTAATATTCTGCTGTCATTACATTTGTTGGGCTTGATTAGAAGTTACTTAAAAATAAATATCAATGATTTAATAATAAGAATGAATTTCTAAGTATGTGTTCATGATTACTTTTGCTTGCTTATTGTTAATAGGCATATTATTTATGATTAGTTCAAAATATATTAGTCCTATGCTTAATAGCTCCCAGGACCATGTTGTTGTTGTTTAGTCGTTAAGTCGTGTCCGACTCTTCGTGACCCCATGAACCATATTGCGCCAGGCCTTCCTGTCTTTCACTGCCTCCCTGAGTTTGCTCAGTTTCATGCTCAAGGACCATGTACAATAAACAACAAACATGCATGCTATATATCACAACAAAGCATAAATCAATTATACAAATCAAAACAATCCTTAAAAACAATAGAAAAGCATTACAGACAAATCTAAATCTAAAGCAAAAACAGTACTTGAAAACATAATATATTCACATAAACAACAGGGATGGTTAAAGCCATGTAAGGTTTGGTAGCCTAGATTCTATGATTTCCAATGAGGCTCCAGACAGAGGTTTTTCCAAAGCAAATACAGCTTTTATTTCTAGCCAGAAGAAAAGCAGGGTGGACTGATCTCTGGGTGGCTGGCAGAAAGTAGACAGGGAACAGCCACACCCAGAACAGTTTACAACAGCTTTTATACCTTTTTGTTATCAGGAAGCATCTAGGAGAAGGGCCACACACACACAGGTGTGCCCGCCTTCTAAGGTTGACATAACATTAGCAGCATAAACTAATAGTCAAGTCTCTAGTCCTCACTTGTTCCAGGGGTTCCTCATATAAGGCATTGCTATCTAGCTTGCCCAAATCGTGCAGAGGATGTGGTTACACAATGTGGCCAGAAGCAAGAGCAGGTGCAAAAGTTCATGCATGCTCAGGAAATGTGTCTATGGCCTTTAGCTTAACCACCTTTCCATTTCATTTGCAACTCTGCAAACTGTTAAAATGTCCCTTTATAATCGGCATAACTTTTATATGCTTAGCACCTTATAACTTTTATAAG